CAGCACCCACACGGCAGCTAACAACCATCCATAGCTCCAGTTCCAAAGGATTAGACACCCTCTTCTGGCCTCTGCAGGCATTGCTCACACGGTGCACTTACATCCATGCAGGCAAAACACTCATACACATAAAGCAAAATAAAATAATAAAATATTTTAAGAACAAGATTGATTTTATCTTTAATTATGTGTCTCTGTGTGTGTCTATGCATATGAGTGCTGCTGCCTAAAGAGGCCAGATGCATCAAATCCCCTGAATTTGGAGTTACTGGCAGTTGTGAGGAACCTGATGTTGGAGGAAAGCAGCTAACTGCAGCATATTTTCAAGGTGTTTATCTTGTTCCTGGCTTCTTCCATGTTCTCTGCTTCCTGGCTATATTACTTTTTTGTTGGTGTGATATGACTCAAAGTAACTTATGGAAGAGTTTATTTTGGCATATGGGTCCAGGTTTGGGGAGGGGAGGAGTCCACAATGGCAAGGAAGACATGGCAGCAAGCAGCCAAAGCAGGAACCTGGCTGATCATATTTTCAACCACATGCAAAATGGCAAAGAGAGCAGGAGCAGGGCAAGGCCTTAAAAGCCCACCCCAGTGATGTGCTTCCTCTAGCAATGCTGCACCTCCTAAAGCTTCCATGAACTTCCCCAAAGAGTGCCACCAACAGAGGACCAAGTTTCATACACATGAGCCTGTGCAGGACGTTGCTCACAGGACCCTTACTAGTCCTGTGCAGAGTAACTTTTCTTTAGCCTCATCCTTCTGTTTTGACAGCCTGCCTTGCCACAGCCACAGGCCAGGTGGTCACAGGCTTACAGCTCTGAAGTGTGGGTCCAAATTAGTTTCCTCTCCTTTAAGCTGTTTGTCTCAGGTATTCTGTCACAGAAAAGGAAAGCTGACTTGGGAAATTAGAGAGAAGGGAACTTCATAACCTGATAAATACAGTTATGGAAAAGCATGTAGTCAAGGCTGCAGAGACTGCTCAGTGGTTAAGAGCATGGACTGCAATTCCAGAGGACTGGAGTTTGCTTCCCAGCACCCATAATACCCTCTCCTGCCTCTGAAGGCACTTGTATGCACATGCAGGTACATGCACGCACACACAAACAAACACACACACACACACACACACACACACACACACACACACAAAACAAACAAAACCACACAGCTAATATCAATACTTAGTGGCAGAAGACCGAACATTTACCCCCTAAGAATGTGGGGGAAGAAAGTAAAGAAAACCATCCTTGGCACTTCCATTCAGTATTAGAAATCCTAGTCAGTTCAACAATACAAGGAAAAGAAACAAAAAGGCATACAGGCACACAAAAAAATAAACTGTCTCTATGTGCATAAAACATAAGGAGTAAGCCAGGTAAGATTGCATAGGCCTGTAATCCCAATTACTTGTAAGGTTGAGGCAGGAAGACAACAATTTCAATGAGATACAATTAAGTTCAAAGCCAGCCTGGGCAACTTAGTAAGATCTTGTTTCAAAACTTTTGAAAATGGGACTGGAGAGATGCCTCAGTGCTTAAAAGCACTGGCTTTCTGGCTGTTCTTGAAAAAGATCTGGGTTTGAATCTCAGCACCCTCGTGGTGGTTAATAACTGTCCATAACTCCAGTTCCAGGAAAATTCAACATCCTCTTCAGATCTCTGGGGGTACTGCACAACATGTATGCACTTACATATACTCATACACATAAAATAAAATAATAAGAAATTTTAAAAGTTAAAAAAATAAGTGTTTGAAATATACCTGAGTGGTATAGTACTTGCTTAGCATTCAGAAAGCCTTAGACTCAGTCCCCAATATCCCCACACAAAGAGGTGTACAAGGCCATTCAGACATACCAGGCAAGGAGGCCTGCACCTGTCTGTGAGTTTCTCATGGCCCCAGTGGATGACTGACGCAAGGCTGCCCTGGGGTTCACTCATTTGCTGAGAGATAAATAGTAAGAACATGAACACTGTCTGGACTGCTGACTGGCCAACTCCTAGAACATGCCAACACATTTAATATGCTGAAATGGGCCACTACGCTTCTGGAAGGTGGTCTCTGTTGCCCATATCAGCTGAATGAGTATTCTGTGGTGAGTGCCATTTATGTGGAACCGCACACGTTCCTTCTCCTACAGCCATTAGCCTGCTGCTCAACAAGTAGCTGGTGATGACTAGAAAGCAGTTGTTACATAGCAGTTGGAGATGGTTAAATCAGTGACATCCTGGTGGCACCAGGTGGGTTTCTTGTAGAAGTGGCTGACAGAGTGGCAGACACAGCCCTTCCAGGGAGCCTCAGTAGGGATATGTCTGTGTAACGCCACCCCAAGCATCTAGCCCACAACAGTCCATTCACTTGACTTCAGGAACAGAGAGCCCTGGTCTTAGTTCAGCCCTGATCCATTTATTTCAATACAGCCTGATTTTCATTCTTTTTTTGAGACAGGGTATCCTACCGTAACTCAGGCTGGCCTTGAACTCAAGGTAATTCTCTTGCGTGCTGCAATTACACACATTATGAATGACACCCAACTCTAAATTTTTATTCTACACACTTTATATCCTAAAGCTGACCAGAGAACAGTAGTTTTGTAACAGTGAAAAATATGTTTAGTTTAGATCTGATTCTTACACCTGTGACCGGTCTCAACCTTCCAGGATCTTTTTTTCTCTTTAGTTTTTTGTTTGTTAATTTTTTGCTTTTTTGAGATAGAGTCTCCTAGTAGCCCCAGCTGGACTAGAACTCAATATGTGTATTAGGCTGGCCTTGATCTCAGAGAGATCCACCTGCTTCTCCCTCCTGAGTGTTGGGATTAAAAGTGTGTGCCTCTTTCCTTTTTAGAAAGACAGTCCTTCTAATTTTGCTGTCCTAACCATGGACATTTGGGGGACAGGGGTCTTGTGTATAGACCAAGCTGGCCCCAAATTCAATGTAAATGAGGCTGACCTTGAATGCCTGCTACTTCTGCCTGTGCCCCCCGAGTGTTGGGATTAAAAGAATATACCAACAGTCTAGCATTCGTGTATGTATGTGAGTGTGTGTGTGTGTGTGTGTGTGTGTGTGTGTGTGTGTGTGTGTGCTAAGATTATAGTCATGGGCCAAGATGACTAGCTTTTTCCCCTCTTCTATTCCATACTCTTCATGGGCTACTCCAATTCTATTAGTTCAGTATTTTCACCTTCATAACTCCCTATATCTGATCATACATTTTTTGTTTCCCCTGTAACTTTTTCTGTGTCTGTAGTCCAAGAGTTAACTGCTAAATTTCTGCAGGGCTTAGATAAGTGCCAGCCTGATGTCTTTGTTCTGCCTTGAATCACCTCCTGCCAATCACCAGGAAGAGAAGGGGGAGGGGGGAGGGAGGAGGGGAGAGACATTAAGACAGAACTGACTTACACTCGCCTCAGTCCAAACAATTGATCTCTTGTTTTCCAAAGCTCTAGACATGCAAGGGGGGGGATATAATTAAACTTTTCTACCACCTTTGTCTTAATGATACCTACAATATTCTCTAGGTCCATAGGCAACTACTTGGCATCACTGGGCACCATAAAGAGTAGAAGGTAGCTGGGTGTGGTGGTGCACACCTTTGATCCCAGCACTTGGGAGGCGGCGGAGGTAGAGGCAGGCGGATCTCTGTGAGTTCAAGGCCAGCCTGGTCTACATAGTGAGTTCCATCTGGGGCTACAGGGAGACCCTGTCTCAAAAAGACCAAAAAAAAAAAGAGTAGAAGGTAAAGACAGGGATTCTTACAGAGACTGAAACATTAAGACCCCCAGTGCCAGGGTAAAGGCCATGTTTCCCCCTGTACCCTACAGCAGCACATGCTGTGTTCTCCGTGTTTTCTTTCATCTGTTCCCTGTTCCTCCTCTACACCAGGATCTCTCCATTAGAAATATGGGAGATACATGTGTAATTAAGAAATTTCTGAGGCCCAGCATGGTGAAGCAAGCCTTTAATCCCAGTACTCAGGAATCAGAAGCAGGCAGATCTCTGTGAGTTGGAGGCCAGCCTGGAGTTCCAGGTCAGCCAATGCTACATAGTGAGGTCCTTATCTCAAAACAAAAACCTCAAAACCAAACCAAACCAACAAGAATCCTAAACAAATAAAACAAAACAAAAACTTCTGCTAAACAAAACAAAAAAAAAACTTCCCTTAGCCACTGTGAAAAAAAAACCCAGCTGAAATTATTATATTGCGTCAAAGCAATTCCATCAATTTAAAATTTAAAATGAAGGTACTTTGTCTTTAAAACTCCGTACACATTTTAAGTTCAAATTCCAACTTTTAAATGACAACCTATTTGCTTGGCCCACCTGGCCTTAAAAATCCTCACACCCACCCCTCCCAGTGCATCCTTCCAGCTGTTCCAGAAGGGTGGTAATATCATTAGTTTGTCTCGTTTTTTTTTTACATTTTAATTATATTTATTTATTTGAGTGGGGGGCAGGTGCCATAGCAAGGCCTGTTTCTAGAGGTCAGAGGACAACTTTTGGAAATCAGTTCTCTCTTTCTGCCATGTGGGTCACAGTGATCCAACTCTGTTCCTCAGGCTTGGGACCAAGTATGTTTACACACTGGACCATCTCGCCAGTCCACAGTTTGAGTTGTGGAAGAAAGAAACCTTAGGTGAGAACTCCTGAGGTAGCTGCCATTCAAACATTCCCCATACCCTACTCTACCTCCTTGGTCTGTCCCCTCCACCCAGCCACAAGTGAGAGAGCTAGACTCAGGGCTAAAATGGCAGAAGGGTTAGGCAGGTTTGAAGGGATGGGTAGGGGTATAGGCATGCACACTTTGCTTCCTTGCCCAACTGCCACATGCCCTGGCTTGCCAGCAGCCAATGACTGACTAGACCCTCTAACAGTTCTAGAAAGTTCTCAGCGCACCCACTGAACTGCCCCCCCCCCGGCCCCTTTTGTCTAAGTTTCTGCCTGTCACTGAGCACCATCTCCTTATCTCTCTCAGGGTATTTGTCCCTGAGGTAGCTCCTAAGATGGATGCTGGTGGTTTTCGTTTGGGAACCAACCTCTGCATTGCCCTCCCCGGGCTGCGGTGGCTGCTGTGGCTGTGGCTGGTCGCCGGCTGCTTCGGGGCTTTCTACTTTCCCGGAATGGTTCCAGTCAGCTACTGTGAGAAGAGAAGCCAGACCGGATTCTGTCGGGTGAGGAGTCCAGGGGAGGGGTGGGATTGGAGGGGAAGCCGGCTGCCGGGCGCCGATGAGGCTGTTAGTCTGGGCACGGAGGCTGTGAGCCTGTGCGAGGAGGCCCGGGTGGGATTGGGCGTGGAGGCCACTGGCCTGGACGCAGAGGCCGTAGGGCTGGAAGCGAAGGCTGACCAGCCCGGTATGAAGGATCCAGGCCTGAACCTGGGGCTGGGCTTCAAGGCCGCCCGTCTGGGTGCAGGCCCAGGGCCCAAGCCAGGGCATCCCACTGGGGCGGGTGAAGGCCCAGGGCCCAGGCCGGGACATTGTGTGGGTCTGGGCTTTGAAGATGCCAGGCTGGGTGAAGGCCGAAGGCCCAGGACAGGGCATTGCGTGGGTCTGGGCTTTGAGGCTGCCAGGCTGGGCAATGGCCCAGGACCCAGGCCCGGGCATCTTGCAGGGCTGGGTGAAGGTTGAGGGCCCAGGCCAGGACATCGCGTGGGTCTGGGCTTCGAGGACGCCAGGCTGGGCACAGGCCCTGGGCCCTGGCCTGGGCGTGGGGCAAGGTTGGCCTTCGAGGACGCCTGGCTCGTCGCGGGCCCCGGGCCCTGGCCGGGGCATGGGGCGAGGCTGGGCTTTGAGGACGCTGGTCTGGACGCGGGCCCAGGGCCCTGGCCGGGGCATGGGGCGAGGCTGGGCTTCGAGGACGCTGGTCTTGTCGCGGGCCCCGGGCCCTGGCCGGGGCATGGGGCGAGGCTGGG